AAAACCCCAAAACCCCAAAACCCCAAAACCCCAAAACTATTCATTTTGAGATTTAAGTGCGTAAATGAAATAAGTACTTTATATAGTTTTTAGGATTGATTATAGGCCTTTACTCACATTGTATAGAATAATTTTAGGTTAAGTTTTTAAAATAAACATATAAATCAATCCCATATATTTTTTGTCGTTAATTACCCAAATGTGGAATTAGCCTTCTTCTTAGCCTTTTGGCCTTCACCCTCGAAAATATCCTTATACTCTCTTGATCTTTGTTCAAGTAATTCAGCGTCCTATCTGTTGATTTGTTGAAGTGGGAATTCCTTCTCATTATCCTTGAAGAGTCCTCTAAGCTCAAAATAATACTTTGCGTAAAGATTTGATTTTACAGTCACATTATATTGAATTAACTCAAGGAACTTTTGCTCGAGTTTGTTGATTTCTTCTGTAACGAAGAATGGATAGATGAATGCAAAGTCTGCATTAGACAAATACCTATCATCCCACACTTTTTGGGCCACCAATAGTGAACACAAGGCCAACGGTCTCCAATTAGTTGGCTGCAATGGCATTTCAGTGAAAGCAATCATTCTGTTAATGTAGACTAAACTGATGATGCAGCACTCTGGAGAGAACTGAGCACACTCATAGAGAGCTTTCATGAATTCAAAAATATTTTCCACTGAAGGTGATTCTCTAAGCAGTGCAATTCTTACCTTATCGAATGCGTCAGGTTTCTCCAAAATGTATTTTTCCTCGGAAAAGAAAAACACATCACTGCCTGGTGCAATAATCTTGCTTGAGGCCTAGTCCTCCATAATTTGTGATTGCAAAATAGTAGCAACTGCATTCAAGATAAGATCAACGTTTATCTTGTCAAGAGTTGAGCCCTTAGGAATAGATCCTAATGTTTCTGACTTCTTATCGACCATTTTATAAATATATTATATTATTCTTTACTTTATTCCTCATAAGATACAAGTTCTATTTAATGGGGTTTTGGGGTTTTGGGGTTTTGGGG